GATGCTGATGGCGATTTGCCTGCATGCTCTGGTTGCCGTTGCGCCTGTTGTCAAGAATGAGTCGCAGCTCTACGACATGTCTCGCATTCGCTCCCAAGGCCTGAGCCTCGCCGGCAGTGGCCTGGTCGTGCGACAGCCGGCGGAGCTCTGCCTTCAGTACGACGATGCCTTCTCCAACGACCTTGCCCTGCGCTTGGCCCGGGTCTTGTTTTCGGCCATCGCGGCACAGCGCACCTTTAACGGCAGCTCTGGCTCTGACGGCGCCCTTGCCGGCACCATTGCCGGCCAAGGCCGCAGGGGCAGCCGGCCGGCCGAGGGCACCATGGACATTCTCGCGCCGCTGTTTTCGCAACTGGACTTTCTCAATATGGACGCGGCCTATATTCTCAACTTCTCTTTCCCCGATCGGACACTCCACGAAACCCGCGTGCCGACTCTGCTCCTTGACTGGGCCCGCGCCGTCATGCTCAGCGAATGGACCGGCTCGCCAGCCGTGCCCGGCGATGGCCACTTTGGCGGCGCCCTCGCCCTCATCGCGGCCATCTACGAGAAGCGACAGGCTCTTTTGGTCGGCGACGTGCAGTTCCGGACGGAGTACTTTGCGGAGCGCCTCGACGAGATGGAAATGCCGGTAGCATGGTTGTCGTTCACGTCCACGCGGAAGCATCGCCACCTGCTCGACTTGCCATTCATCTTCAGTCCGACGTCGCTTGTCTCGTATTTCCGGGCCATTAACTTCTCGCGCATGAACCGCTCGTTTGAAGAGTCGAGCTCCCTCCAGAGCCGGATGAATGCCATTATTTCGCCGGGGAGCTTGATTATCAACCCGCACCACAAAAAGGTGCTGCAAGACCTACTCAAGATGGCATCGACAAAGTACCTTGTTCTCGACATCAGCCGCAGCTCGATCCTCTCCGACGCCTTTGACCAGTTGTGGCGCCGTGAACAGCGCGAGCTGCTGCGGCCGCTCAAGGTCCGCCTCGGCGAGAACAGCGGCGAAGAGGGCATCGACTCCGGCGGCGTTCAATACGAATTTTTCCGGCTGGCCCTGACGGAGGCCCTGGACCCCAACTACGGCGCATTCACAGTCGACAGCCGCACACACATGACCTGGTTCAACCCGACGACGCTGGAGGCCGACTGGAAATTCGAGCTGATTGGTCTGCTGGTGTCCCTCGCCTTGTTCAATGGCATATCGCTGCCCGTGACCTTTCCCAAGGCGCTCTACCGCAAGCTGCTCGGCGAGCCCGTGGACGAGCTGCACCACATTGCCGACGGCTGGCCCGACCTGGCCAGTGGCTTGACCGCGTTGCTGGAGTGGAACGAGCAGGATGGTGCGGTGGAGGACGTCTTTGTTCGGACGTACGAGTTTTCCGTCGACTTGTTTGGCCAGCCCATCTCCCGCGTCATGGGGGACGACTGTGCGCCGTGGCCGAAGATCCGGGAGAATGTCCTGCATGACATTGAGGCGCGGGCCACAACACCAATAGGCATGTCCGATACAACTACTGCTGCTGCCACCCATGTCGCTGCCGCTCGATCCGAACCAGCAGAGGATCCCTCCGCTCCCAACGCATCGCCGCTGGCCGCTGGCAATCCTGGCGACGACGCCCCCATGGTGACGGGCGAGAACCGCAACGCCTACGTCACGGACTACATCCGCTACCTGACGGACGTGTCGGTGCGCGCACAGTACGAGGCGTTCTCGCGCGGCTTCCGCAAGTGCCTGCACCCCAAGTCGCTGACGCTGCTGACACCGGCACTGCTGCAGTCGCTGCTGGAGGGCGAGCAGACCATTGACATGGACGAGCTGCGGCAGCACACGCGGTACGTGGGCTGGGACACGGGCCATGCGACGGTGAGCGACTTCTGGTCGATTGTGTCGGCGTACGACGAGCCGATGAAGCGCAAGCTGCTCGAGTTTGTGACAGCGAGCGACCGCATGCCGGTGGGCGGCGCCAAGACGATGCAGTTTGTGCTGCAGCGGAACGGCGAGGAGGAAGCTGTGGGGGGCCATCTCCCGACGGCATACACGTGCTACGGCACGCTGCTGCTGCCCGAGTATCCCAATCGCGAGGTGCTCCAAGAGCGGCTGGCGATGGCGCTGGAGAATGCCAAGGGATTTGGATTCTCGTAGACGGGCCAAGAGGAAGAGTTGCGGAAACAAAAGAGCTGGGAAACAAAAAGAGTACGATAGACAGGCTGGGCAGACATTGCTTTCTAGCGAGCGTTTTTCGGGATGCGGCTGCCAAGGTTCATGGTTGCCGAATTTTATGCCTACAATATAGTGTCGTTGTTGGGATACTCATTTTGACTTGTAAAGCACACGAAGACATCCCATTCCAAAAGCATACAATCAAGCCCAAATAGGGCACATGCGGAGTTGCTTATGAGAGTCATTTATACGCATGCAGTTTTGCTTTTGAGAGTCATTTATATTTAAAACCATATGTATTTTCCAAACGTTTCCTTGCCCAGTCCCAGTCACAGAACACAGGGGTATACAGTCGTGCAATGGGCGTCGTTTGAACCCCGTCGCCGTACTTGCTTTTTATTCTATACATGCTCCATAAGTTTTTTGATTCCTTTATTCTTTTTCATTTTTCATTTTTTTTTATATTGCCGTTCAATCACCTTTGGGCCTCCCCCGCCCTCTAAAAGTCGTCCTCGCCCGAGCCGCTGATGATGACGTTGTTCACCTTGAGCACCATCCGGCACAGCTGGGTGGCCAGCATCAGCTGCTGCTTCTTGCCAATGAGCGGGTCGATCACAAAGGCCTCCTTCATGTCGTTGGAGCCGAGGCCCATGCAGTCGACGCCCAGGCGGCCGCGGGCGGCGCCGCCCTGTGCCTTGATCTGCTGGCTCTTGACCTCGGCCAGGGTGGCAATGGGGTTGAGGCCCGAGTTCTCGGCCAGGGCCATGGGGATGGCGTCGAGGGCCTCGGCAAACGCGCGCATGGCGTACTGCTCGAGGCCGGGGGTCTGGACGGCAGCGTCCTCGACGGCGAGCGAGCAGGCAATCTCGGCGGAGCCGCCGCCGTAGACGACGCGGTTGTCGCGGACGAGGTTGCGGACGACGCACAGGGCGTCGTGCAGGGAGCGCTTGGCCTCGTCGATGATCATCTTGTTGCTGCCGCGGACAAAGACGGTGACGGCGCGGGTGTTGGCGCACTCCTCGATGACGAGCATCTTCTCGCGGGTGGTGCCAAAGGTCATCTCGCGGACGACGCCGGCGGTGCCGAGCTTCTCGGCCGTCAGGTCTTCGAAGCGCGGCACGATGCGGCCGTTGGTGGCAATGGCAATCAGCTCAATCTCCGGGCCGCCGACCCAGCGCACGGCGGGCAGCTGGTTCTGCAGCAGCAGGTGGTTGGCCTCGTCGTCGAAGCCCCACTGGCAAATGACCAGGTTGGCGCCGGTGTCCTTGATCTGCTGGATCATCTCGACAAACTTCTCGTGCTCGTAGTTTTGCAGCTTGCGGAACTCCTCGACGGACGTGATGTCGAGCTTGTGCTTCGTCTTGGGCTTGGGCGGCTCAAAGGCGCACGTCAGGATGGCCATCTTGGCGTCGCGGACCTCCGCGGGCATCTGCGGGTGGGAGAAGTCCTTGTCGATGATGACGCCCTTGACGAGCAGCGAGTCCTCGAGGGCGCCGCCGACCTTGCCGTCGACCTTGATGAGCTCAAAGTCGACGTCCTTGCGCTCGAGGTCCGCGACCGACATGACGGCGTCGACGGCAATCTTGGCAAACTGGTCGTGCGCCTTGGAGACAATCTTGGAGCCCAGACTGGTGCGGGCGACCTTGGTGAGGTTGGTGACGTCGCCGGGGCTGAAGGGCAGCACGTCGGCGATCTTGTCGAGCTCGGCCACGGCAATGTCGCACGCCTGGTCGTAGCCGTCGGCGATGCGGATCGGGTGGATGCCCTTGTCGATCAGCTCGGCCGCCTGCTCGAGCAGAGCGCCGGCCAGGACAACGACGCCGGTTGTGCCGTCGCCAATCTCGTCGTCCTGGGACTTGGAGAGCTCGACCAGCAGCTTGGCCACGTGGTTTGTCACCTCCATCTGCTGCAGGATCGTGGCGCCGTCGTTGGTGACGGTGATGTCGCCGTCGGGCGAGATGAGGATCTTGTCGAGGCCGCGCGGGCCGAGCGACGACTTGACGATGTTGGCGACTGTCCGCGCGGCGAGGATGTGGGATTTGACGGCCTCGTTGCCAAACTGCCGCCGCTTCTTTCCTTGGCTGCGGAGGGGGGTTAGCGGCGGTCTGGTATCTGGAAGACGCCAGGCGGACGGACGAGCTGTGCTGTCCAAACTTACTCTCTGACCACGATAAACGGCCGGCCCTGTTCATCCTGAATCACCGACGCTGTGGCGTGTTAGTAGGCTTGCGAGCTTCCACAAAGGCAGCTGGGCCGGTCTGGGGTACTTTGCATACCGTTGGAGAGGTCGAGATCTGTGTTGTGGGCGAGACGTTAGCTTGCTGACCAAAAGGCTGAAATAGGGGCCAAAGGGGCGCGGGGATGTTTGCAACGCACTCATCGCCATGTTGGAGGAGTTGCCGTCTCTGCGAGACCAAGCGACTGTAGCGGAGGGTGCGTGTTTCGGTGTCTGTGTCGGAATGCGTGTCTCGCCGGTCGTGGGTGTGGTTGTGGTGGAATGGGGGAGGTCCAAAAGGCGGTTTTGTTTGGTGGTACAGCTTTTGCTGCAGTCGATGCTCTTCTAGGCAGTTCCAAAGCGGATCGCGGCCGCTGAATTTTGATTTTGTGTCCTGCCTGCTACTTTTGCCCCTCGTTGCTTCCCTGTGGCCTGGCTGCTGGCCACCGCCCCTTGTTCCTGCCGTTGGCAGTAGGCGTCACGTGCGCTCACTTATCGGGCCTGCGGGAAAGATACGTCGAGGTCGGTCCATCGTTCCTTCTTTTCCCCTGCAGCACCTTCCGCGCAAACCCCAGCACGGCCCCACAGCACGCACGTAGCGCCTTCCGCCATTGGGGCAAAGCTAGGCTATCAACAGCCTATGGGCATTGTGTGCTGTTTCCATTGTTTCGGGGAAAGAGCGACAGACAGCTCAGGTGAGCAAAGCAAAACATCGACGTCGCACCAACCAAATTCCTGTCGTCTCGAGACATCGACCGGACCATCCGACGCAGCCCACGGCCACCCGACGACCCATACGCGCTCTCGTGCGCATCTCTGCTGACGAGCGACGACTGCTGCAGCTGGTAGACTCAGTCTTTCCTGCCGCCGGTTCCGAATACGGCGCACCCACGGCGCTATATCCGGCGCAAATCGTTGAACATATTCGCTTTGCATCACGACATCAACAGAATCGACATTCCTCGACATTCCTCGACACTCGCCCGGTGTTTGTCCCGCGACCGACACCCAGTCCCTCGTCGACCGCCACACGGTGATGGAGTCCAGCCGTCCACTGGCCTGGCTCATCTCTTCATCCATCCGCTGCTCACCGGCTAGCTAGCGAGTTGTCCTCGTCTTCGCCCTCCGCGTCCTTCCCGCCCTCAGTCCACAGTCGGCGGGGTGGCCGTGCCCAGGGCCCGTCCCGGCAAACGGACGGCGACATGGAAGTAGGCGACTATGAGACCAACACGTTGGCGGTCAACAACATCGCTTCCATTGCCTTCCGTGTCTACCGCCCCGTCGCTGCGGCCTCGGCGTCTGCGGCGCTCTTTACCTTTTCGCCCTCGGACGTCGAAAAGGCCCTGCGCCACGATGGCCATCTCGTCTTTGCCGACTCGCGCCGCCAAGGCATTTGGTGCTTCCGGCTTCTGCGCAAGGACGGCTCGCCCATTGGCTCGCCCACCAAGTCCGAGCTCGGCACGACCATCGACGTCGGCCCGTACAAGCTCACAACCGTCTCCGACGGCACCTTTGACCCCGGCAGCCTGGTTCTGGGCAAGCCGGCAGCGAGCACCAGCGCCAACCCCGTGAACACGCCCAGCAGCTCGGCATCGTCGTCAGCCACATCCATCGCGCTGCACACCTCCTTTGGCCTGTCTGGGCTGCCTGGCGTGGTCGATGCACCGGCGTCACAGGCACAGGGGACGGCCGGGAGCAATGGAGGCGCTGACCGTGACGGGACGCCAAACGGCGGCACGGCACACGTGGCACACGCGGCACACGCGGCACAGGGGACGCAAGGAACGCAAGGCGGCTCGCAGACACAAGCACAGGCGTCCGATCCACGATCTGCTTTCCCCGCCGTGCCGACCAAGGTGGTCTACAACTTCTTCATGTCCGCCGTCCTGGCCAGCCTGTCGACCGCGTACTGCTCAAACGCCAAGGCCATTGCCCTCAACAACCGCACCTTTTTGCTGCCGCCGCTCGACCCGCTGTGGGACGGCCGGGAGAGCAGCCGCACCGACAGCCGCTCGCTCGTCGCCACGCTGCGCATTACTCTGACGACCGCCGGCGCCTTGCTGGTCAGCTTGTCGCATTCGCTGTTGCGCGGTATGGGCTGCTCCGAGTGGGAGTGCTACGCCGGCGTGCCGCCGCCCGGCTCCGCTGTTCTGACCGCGCCTTGGGGCAAGTTTGCCACCGTACAGGACGCCTACCCGCCCGTCATGTCCGCCGACGACAGCCGCTATGCCGTGGCCCGGTTACAACGCAACGGCGTACCCTTGCCGGCCGTGCCCCATGTCTGGAAGAGCTTCGCCGCCAAGATGCTGGAGATGCGCGGCACGTCGGCGTCTGTTCTGCAGGACTCGACGTGGCTGCAGCTCGAGTTTGTGCTCGACGACAAGACGCCCAATGGCAATGACAGCGACAACAGCGGCGGCAACTCGGTCGTCATCCTGTGGCCCTCCGTCCTCTGCTTCTGGTGTCTGGAGGACGCACTGGTCACGGTTGCGCCCTTCCAGCGGCTCGACCCGCTCGCCGAGCTGCGTGAGGCGTATTTGGAAGAGCTGCGGGCGGAAGAAGCCGCCTTGCGGTCCAAGGAGGCCGCCAAGGAAGAGGATGTCGCCCCCGAGGACGTTGTCATGGAAGACGTGCAAACCGTCTCGAGCATCGGCAAAGGGACACAGTCCGACGGCCCTTCGCCTGTTGGCTTGCGGCACAACCTAGTCGGGCCAGGAGGGCCAGGAGGGCCAGGAGGAGCAGGCGGAGCAGGAGGGGCAGGAGGAGCAGGAGCCACGTCCGCAACATCCGCAACGTCCGCTGCCGGCGCCATCTACCCAACACCGCCCGATGGTATTCTCAGTCTGGTTGGTGCGACACCGACGTTTGATGGCGCGACGTCGAGTCCCGGGAACGCCATGGGACCCAGCGCGGGTCCCGCGGACCTTGATGCTATCCCGGCCGAACGGCCGAGTGGCGCCGAGGAAGGCTTTGGCGACTGGCCGAGCATTGGCGCCCAGCAGAACGACCAGGACCAAGACCAAGCCTTTATGGGCGAGCCCGACAACTTGCTGGGCGGCGACCTTGGCGCGGACATGTTCGGCGACGATATTACGGACGCTGATTTTAACTTTTTCGACGACACGAAGCAAGCGGATGCTGCCACGGCCGCCAGCGCCACGGGAGCAGCCGGTCCATCTGCTCTCGCCCCGGACAAGATGGACGTAGACGTCAGCAGTCGACCAAGCGAAATGCCGGCAGACGACACACTGCCAGATGCCCATGCGCAGCCCATGTCGCAAGCGGACTCAAATATACAGTCAGAATCACAACCGCAACCGCAGCCACAAAATCAAAATCAAAATCAAAACCAAAACACACCTTCCATGCCCCCTCCTCCACCACCGGTACAGCAACCACCATCCGACCGTAAATCAAACGAGACAGTCGGCGAGTCATCCAACAAGACGCCCGGGTCGCCCGTCTTTGCAAAGCCAGAGCTGCGGCACGCACGGAGCAATCTCAGCGACGCCAGGAAAGGCAGCGGCAAACGATCGCCGAGCCCGTTCAATGCCGTGACGGTCTTCAAGCGCGTCCGCGCCATTGCCGAGGCGAACAAGGCGCTCCCCGTCGGTGCATTACGGCAACCTCGCCCCCAACAACCCGGCAAGCTATTTGAAGGCCTCAAGTTCACCGAGTTTATGATCCAGAACAGCAAAAAGTACGAGCTGAACGGCAAGTTCGGCTTCAGCTGGCCCCATCCGGAAGCCGACATGCTGTCCGACCTGTCCTCGGCAACGTCGCCGACCGCCTTTCGTCGGCCGCTCAAGAAACGCCCGGGCCTGTCGGATGCGTCTCCGCAGTTTGCGTCCCTCATCTCCAGCATCACGCGCGGCCTCAAGTCGAGCTCGCTGCACGCCGCGCCCAGCCCGCGTCTTCTCGAAGACCTCGAAGACGGCGGCGACACATCCTCCAACGCGTCGAGCACGAGCTCGTCGTCCGACGACTCAGACGACGACGAAGCGCCCCTGGCGGTCACCGCCGTACACAGGAAGATGCGTGCGCGCGCCATGGCCGAGCTGATTCCGTCACCCGAGGCCGCCACAGAGCTGTCCCGCGCCTACAGCGAAGGCGTCTGGGACTTTCCCATTGCCCGGTTCTTTGCCGAGCCGCTGCCACAGCCGACGGAGCTGAACTACGCAGACGACGACATTGCCGACGTGGCGCAGATCCTGACCCAGCAAATCACGCGCGCGACCATCCGATCCGTCTTTGACGAGGACGACGGCCAGAACCTGCAAAAGTCCAAGCTGCGCCAGACCCTTCTGCAGCGTGTCCGCTACTCGGTCGCGACCCTCGAGGACTCGCTGCCGGCCTCGCTGGACGGCGCATCCCGCTGTGCGCTCAAGCCGTACCTCGACGTCCAAGATGCCCTGCAGCTGGCGCCACCCGGTCGGCTACATCCCCGCGCGCCGCCCGGGTCCGAGCAGCGCATCCCAAACCTCTTTCCGGCGCCCACGCCGCTTGTTGGCATCCGGCGCAACGAGTCGACGCTGTCCATCAAGCCGACCGGCATCGAGTTCTGGGAGGTGCTGGGCCTGGAGCCGCTGCACGGGCCAAAGGACATCCGCGCCGTCTGTGCCTACCCCAACTACCAGGGCCTGTCCAGCGACGTCGCCCGTTTTCTGGATCGCATGCGGATCGTCTACGAATCCCTGCGGCTGGGCGCCCACGAGCCGCTGTCGTTCAAGGCCAGCGTTGTCGACGGCATGGTCGCCTTCAACAGCAGCCTCTCCTCGTCGTCGCCCCTGTCCCAGTCCACGCCCGGCGCCGAGTTTTCGGGCGTCGACCAGGTGCACAAGCTGGCACAAGCCCTGGCGGCCGAGGACTCGCCCGGCAAGAGCTTGGTGGTCTACTTTGTGTACTGCCCGGAGATCACGACGGCGATTGTCGATGCCTGCCTGGCCTTCCAGCGGCTGTCGCAGCTCTACGACATTGCGGTGACGAGCCGCAGCTCCGAGCCCAACGACCTCGTTCTGCAGCTCATCCCCGCCGACTTTTTGTCCTCGCCGACGTCCCTCGCCGTGCCTACGCCGACCGATCTGCTGCGCCTCTCTCTCGAGGTGTACGACCGCTGTGCTAGCCTACGTGGGCCTAAGCCGGCGCCGGCGTTCCTGCTCGAGCAGCCGCCTGCGCGCAACCTCGACCTAAAACTGTCGTCGACGCCGCTCGTAGATGTGCAGCGGGAGAACTCGTGCATCCACGTGGCCTACGCCGCGAGCGCCGACGAGCGCTGGATCACGGCCGCGTGGACCGACAACAGCGGGTGGCGACAATTCAGCTCGGCCTACTGGATCGGGCGCAAAGACGCACGCGACGCCGCAAACTCGTTTGACGCCGTTGCGCGCGAGATCTGGACCAACACGTGCGCCATTGTCTCCAATCTCAAGGTGCACTGGCGGGCCATTGTTGCCAAGTGCGGCCACATGGATCCCGACGAGATCAGCATCTGGTCCGAGCTGGCCAAGGCGGAGACGCGTGCATCCATCAGTCTGACGCTGGTGTCTGCCGATACCCAGCCGACGCTGGAGCTGCTTCCGCCGATTGCCACGGTGGTTCCAACGGTGCTGTCGCAGCTGTCGGTCCAAACTCTTGCGCAGACACCGCAAGCGTCGGTGTTCTCGCCAGAGCAGAGCGGGAACCCTGTGACGCCGGCCGGCGGCAGCTTTGCAAACAACCCCACGACGCCGGCGGCCGGTACACCCGCCGGCGGCGGTCCCACGCCGGCCACGCCGGGCGGCGGCCAGCTCGGGAAGGCCGGTGTCGCGGCCCCGAACAGCCCGGCGATTCCCAATACGCCGTCTGGCGCCGGTGCAAGTGCCAACGCAACGGCCACAACAGCCGCCGTCGCCAATGCCAATGCCAATGCGAATGCCATTGCGAATGCCAACGCCAGCAGCAACGCCAACAACGATGCCAGTGCCAAGCTGGCCGCTGCCGGCGCCGACCCCAACACCGTCGTTGACATTGAGGGAAATGTCGTCCTTGTCGACGTGACCGACAATACCTGGATCGCCGTGGCTGCGCACCGCCTGAACACGGCCTCCACCTGGGTCGACCTGCAGCCGGCGCTTGTCAGCGGCTATCTCATCAAGCGCGGCGGCATCGGTCGCGACGACGCGCCCGTTGTCCTCGAGGTCAACATTGTCCACGTCGACCCCAAGCACCGCGTCAGCGACGCCCTCGCCCGCGACATCCTCACCTCGTACCGGGCGCTGGGCACCCTGGCACGCGTTCGGGGCATCCTCGACAGCGAGCGCGACGCGCGGCCGTGGCACATTGCCGCCGCCGAGCGGGCCGCGCGGGCGCTCTGTCGATGGATGTAGGATATTTACGCATTGTTTTGCATTATTTGCATTTTTGTATGTATGTGTTATCGAGAACTCGCATAGTACAGTATTTGCTCGGTCATTGTTCCAAGCGCCTTTGTTTCAGTTGCAATCATAGGTTTGGGCGTCTTGTTTGCAAGGATATACTTGTCTTTATTTTGTTTCATTTCGTTTGCAGCATATTCATTCTTGGCGCTTGGGTGATGTTTTACGGTGTATTTTGTCGTATGGAGACATTTCATGTTGAATGTGTTTTACTCTGTAGGTCGTGACCATGGAAAGCCGTCTATGGTGAATCGAGGCAAGACAAAAAATAAAAAATAAAACGAAGCAACGCAAAAGCCGTCCTCTCCCAAAAATCCCACAAACCATTCCCTGACGCCTCTTGACGCCCTCAAGACCTGTCGTCTCACTCGTCTCCGTCAACCACCTACTGGTTGAAGAAGTTGGGGAAGAGGTACTCGACACGCTTGACGGCCTCCGGGTTGCGGCCGGCAGGCTTGGTCATGAACTGCACGGCCATGACGGCGGAGCCCTCGTGGTGCTTGGCCAGGACAAGATCCTTGTGCTCGGGGCGCGCCAGCTCGTCCAGCACGGCGCCCACGAGGTGCTTGGCGTTGGCGCTGTTGGCCTCCATGTACTTGAGCACCATGCTGACGCCGACGTCCTCGCTGTCGTCGCCGACGCGCCAGCAGTCGTAGTCGGTGGACATGCAGATCATCTGGTACGCCAGCTCGGCCTCCCGCGCCAGCTTGGCCTCGGGCAGCGCCGACATGTTGATGACGGAGCCGCCCCACGACCGGTACAGGTTCGACTCGGCACGCGTCGAGAACTGCGGGCCCTCCATGCAGATGAGCGTGCCGCTGGCGTGCAGCTTGACGCCGTCGCCCTGCATGGCCGCCGCGCAGCCCTGGACGACCTTGGCCACCTTGGCGTCAAAGGGGTCCGCAAAGCCGACGTGGCCGACGAGCCCGCCGTCAAAAAACGTAAAGGGCCGCACGCCCTTGGTCCGGTCGATGACCTGGTCCGGCAGCACAAAGTCCATGGGGCGGATGTGCTCCTGCAGACTGCCGACGGCGCTAAAGGCAATCACGCAGCGCACGCCAATGTGGCGCAGGGCGGCCATGTTGGCGCGCGAGGGCACCTCGTGCGGCGCCAGCTGGTGGTAGAGGCCGTGGCGGGCCAAAAAGGCAAACGCCGCGCCCTTGTGCTCGACAATCTGGATGGGCGCCGAGGGCTTGCCCCAGGGCGTCGTGATGTCGAGCGAGGCCACCGGCTCGAAGCCCTCGATCTTGGCGAGGCCGGTGCCGCCGATGACGGCAATGGAGACCGGGTCTGCGAGGGTTAGCAGGGGTCAGACCCGTGGGGGGGGGGGGGGGGGGGGTGCCGAGCACAGGCAGCAGAACGTACGGTCGTAGTGGTCGGCGAGAGGTGCAGACATGGTGGCGATGAAGGATGAAGCGCAAATGAGGCGACTGCCAAAAGGGAACGAAACGCTGTTTGGAGAGACGAACGGTTCTGGGCAGCACAAGGAAGGAGGGACACAGTCGTGCAAGCTTCAAGATCGGCAGGAGCAACCCATGGCAGTAATATAAGGTGCCCAGTCCGCCCGTAGTACGAGTACATAAAACATAGGGACCATAATGCTCGGCCTTTTTTGTCTTATATTTTTAGCGGTTCCTGGATTTTTTCTTATTTTTCTTATTTTTCCATGGCGTATGCTTTGGCCCGCCGGCGCGGCTTGGTCGTTGCTTGTTCGCTGCGATGAAGCTGCTGAAGACGCAATACCCCGCGATTACGAATTCAGTTCGTCTCACTGCTCGTCAGCAGTGCTATGGAGGGGCTGGCAGCCTCAATCTGGCTAACTACAGCGGCTCTCACACGTGCCTCCAGCCCAGCCAGCCACTGGACTCGTGCTAGCGGTTGCTCCTTCTGTGTCTGTTCCTGTCGAGTTTGTGCTTGTGTCCGCAGGGAAGGTCCCACCAAGACCAGAAGAGAGCATAATGTGGCAGGCACCAAGTCCTGGCCGCCCGCGCCTTCCGCCAATCATAGTAGCAGCTTCCTATCTCGAAAAAATAAGTCCGCTCCTGCCCCAAAGCTGCGTTTGGCCCAACGGACGACGAGTCTCGTGCCTCTCCGCCGTGACTCCGGCAGAAGCATTTCTCTTCTCCGCAACAAAACATCGCCAAAGCTCACGACCTCGCTTTGGCCCCGTCTACCGCACGTCTGCATCCCACAACCGTCGTCCAATTGCTTGCGACAACTGTCTGGCTACCTTGAACGCGGGCAACGGGACTACGGCCTTTCGGCAGTGCTACAGCAGCCGTTTTGAGTTCCTTTTTTTTTTTTTTTTTTTTTTGGTATTTCAAATCCGGTTCTCTCTATTTGGGATTTCGACCAACCTTCACCGTCTCTTTGCATTTCGACACACAGGCTGTCTGCTCTCTTTGCCGACTTCGGTCCTTTTTGACTCTCCCTCTCGAATTGACAGTCTTGCGTCTGCCTGACTTCCACCGCGTCCTTTTCCGCTCGTTCTCACCTCATCTAATCCCGACTTTGCCACCTTTCCCGACTCCTCGACTCCCCGACTCCCTCCTAGAGCGTCCGTCGGGCTGCCGCCCTCGCACGGTGTACCATGGCGCCCATCGCGACCGGCAATGTGCCGCCCGTCGACCGCATCAGTGCTCCGTCCTCGAAACAGTCCATCGAGGAGGTGTGCTTTACCGCCGCCCTGATCTGCCTCGATGGCCACTTCAGCGACCTGCCGTCCATCCCGGGCTCGCAGACGCAGGCCAAGGTGGCCGGCATGGTGGCCCGCACGCTCGAAAAGACGCACGGCCGCAAGGACGTCCGCGAGGCCCTCGCCCGCAACGTCGAGATCTGGGTGTACCTGACGCGCATCTTTAACAACGCCATCGACAACCTCACCCTGCGATCCATTGCCGGGCTGACCGACCCGCCCTACGACGACAAGGCGAGCATTGCCAACGGCAGCACCAGTGCCAGTGCCAGTGCCAGCGCCAGCGGCAGCCACGGCCACGCCCACCACCACCTGCACTCCCACATGGGCCACGACAACTCGGAGCTGATGATTAAGAACCACGCGAGCCTCAAGGAAGATCTGCAGATCCTCAACAAGCTGATGCACATTGCCCGCAACCTGCTGGTCTGCTCTGTGCCCGAGGTGCCGCAGGACATTTGTGCCGCGGTCAGCTTCGACGCCGTCGTCTTCCAGATCATTGTGCTGTGCGTCAACCTGGCTGGCAAAGGCTACCATGGCGACGTGCTGGACGACGCCAGCCGCAACAAGCTCAACGAAATTTATGATTTGTGTATGTGACAGTTGCCCTTGTACTTGGCTGTGTTTTTTTTTTGTGTGTTAATCCTTCGTCCTTCTAATACCGGCAGTTAAAAAACTCTTGGTGACATCTCTCCAACAAGTGCACAACTGGACCGCCAAGAACGACCGCAACAAGATGGCCTTCTGGTACTATGTCTTCTTTGAGGACGAGTCCATGCCCGACGACTTGGACACCCTGGGCGGCGACGGAACTGGCTACCGACCAGACCTGGCCAAGATGGAGCTGCGGCACTGGCTCGAGCGCAACGCCACCATCTGCGCCGAGGCCCGCGAACGCCTCGTCGAATACGCCAACACACACCAGACAAAGGCACCCGGCATCCCCTCGCTCAACTCCCCGCTCGCGCGCCTCTGGATCCCCAGCAACCTCCTGGATCCGGACGTCGGCCGCGACGAGGCCAAGTACGCCCAAGACGAAGCCTTTGGCCGCGTCTCGCACGAGAACGAAATCTGGTGGGAGCGCGTCAGCGACCCCAATCGCGACGAGTGGCGGCTACCCATGCCCGACCGTGCCTACGGTAAGCGCCGCCAGTCCTTTTTCAAACACATTCTCCTGCACAGGTTCAGCCCGCGCTGGCGGATGCGGGACGAAGACGCCGCTCAAGGATACAGCATCCACATGACCGGTGAATACTTCCGCGTTGCCGGCAAGGGCGACGCCGAGTTAGATAGCAAACTTGACGAGCTCGACGACGGGACCGACGAGGACGGTGACGTTAGCGACGAGGATGCTGAGGCTGACGTACAAAAAGACAATGAAGATGGCGAGGAAGGCGGAAGCGAAGGCGAAGGCGACGGCGAGGACGATGAGCATCACAACCACAGCCTCGGCCGCAGCTACCACCGCTACCACCACCACCACTACCATCACCATCATGACCATGATCACGATCACGATCACGACCACGACCACGACCACGACCACGACCACGACCACGACCACGACCATGACCACCACCACCACCATGAACATCATGATCACGACGACGATGAACACGAGGGTCCCTACCTGGACATTCACGGTAACCCTATCGATGACGATTACGAAGACGACAACGACGATGACCTGGAGGATGACGATGACGACGATCACCATCACGGCGGGCCCCATAGCGACCGGGACGATCTCGACGACGACTCGTACGCTGAGGGCCCCGTCCTGGGCTTGCTCACGGAGATTCCCAACATTCTCGACCCCAAGCAAATCGAAGCCCTGCACATGATTATCAAGTCGTGCATCCTCGACACCATGGGCAGCGGCCTGACGCCCCAGGGCGAGAGTCTGCAGCAGGCGCGCTGCAAGTTCTTGCTGGCATCCGACAGCGGCCGCAGCCTGCTGCGTGAGCTGCTCGTTTTCATTGCCGTCTGGGACCAGGAGGAGAGCTCGCTGATCTGGGAGCTCACGTCCCAGATCCTCGAGGCCATTCACGACGCGTCGTTGATTCCCTACGCCTGGACGGAGCTGCGCATTCCAAAGGATGTCGTGTCGCCTGCCCAGGCTGTCATGCTGCGCATGATCACCTACTTCTTCCGCAAGAAGTACCTTGGCCAGAACGCCCTACCCGCCGCGTCCAACGGCGCACCGCCCCGGCAGCACGTCGATGCCAGAGACATGCGCTTGGTGCACTTCATGGTCAGCACGGTGCGCTGCCGTATTGTGCCCGAGTGCTTGGCTTTCATGTCCGTGCAAGGCGACATTCGCCGCGGCGCCACCGACAGCTCCGTCTTCCCCATCGAGACCTGGGACATGGAGCGTGCCCGCGACGGGCTGAGCCAGGTGCTGGAGCTCTTTGCCACCGTCTCGGAGATTGAGGAAATCCGTGCTCAGCTGGTCGACTGGGAGTTGGCCATTGAGCTGGTCGCGCTTCTCAAGGGGCTCGAGGAGGCCATCCCAAAGAAGCCCCTGGTCGAGGCGGCGGCCCAGAGGCCGAATGCCAACTCGTCCGCTCTTGCTGCCGCCATGGCCGGTGCCACGGCCGGTCGAGCTGCCGCTGCTGTTGCCGCTGCGAACGCTGGACGGCCCGGGCAACAGCAGCAGCAGCAGCTTCCGCCGCCTCCGCCTCCGCCGCCGCCTCCGATTCCTCAGGACCCTGCGTACAAGTTCCCTTGGGCCGGGATTAAGACACAGGTGCTGTCTATCCTCGCCACCCTTTTGCAGCCGGACCCGGGCAGGACGAGCCCCGGCAATGCGCAGGTCCAGAGCCAAATCATGGAAGAAAAGGGCATGCTCGCGCTGCTCAATGCGTGCGTCTACGACGACCACAACCGCTTTGCCCGCGAGCGTGTCCAGCTGTGCCTCAAGTACCTGATGGACGGCTGCGAGGAAGCCAACCTGTTTGTCCGCGAGCTCGTCAAGTCGACCCCGCTCCCCAGCAACGGCGGCAATGCCGCCGGTGGACCAGCAGCCAACGGTCAGCAGCCGGCCGATGGCGTGCGACGCGTCCGCGTCGACGGCGTAGAGGGCGAGGTGAAGGTTCGTGTCCGTGCCGAGGGCAAAGCTGTCCCGACGCCTCCTGCCCCGGTCATCCCAGCGGCGTCGGTTACCACGAACGCCGCCGCACAGGCTCCCGCCGCCGCCAATGCTGCGCCAGCTGAAGCGTCTCCCTCTCTGAATCCCGACCAGGGGACGCAGGGGACGCAGGGTACGCAGGGGACTCCTACGATCCTGCCTTCCCCTTTGGCGTCTGCGCCGAACGGACCCCCAGGAACCGCTCGGCAGCGTAAGCAGCGCCAGAAGCGGCAGCAGCGGCAGAATCGACTGAAGCAGCAGGAAGCCGCCCTGGAGGCACAGGAAGACCAGCTCTTGCAGGGCATGTCGCAACAACAACCGCAGCCGCCTGCCCAGCCTCAACAGCAGCCTCAACAGAAGCAGTCCCAGGCGCAGCAACCTGCGGTCCCGACACCCCGTGTCTTTGGCCCGCCGCCGCCGCCGCCGCCCATCGCGCCCGCACTGGCATCGCTCGCGGCGCAGATGTCGCAACTCGCCGCACTGCCCCTGCCCACCAGCGAGATGTTCCAAGCCAGCAACCTGCCGCCCCAAGCTTCCAACGGCAAGGTGGCCGAGGGCCTGGCGGCCCGCCGCGCGCGGTGCGAGTCCCTGCTGGGCGAAATCGTCTCCCTGTCCGACCACACGGCCCGCATGGCCGTGTCCATGAACCGCGGCGAGATGCCCCTGCCCGACGACACGCTGATGAACTTCCTCAAGAGCCAGAAATTTCTAGAGCGGTGCCGCGAGCGTCTGACGCGTCCCGTCTCGGGCGCCCCGGATGCTCTCGTCGAGGAGGGCAGCAACCTGACCAGCGGCATGCTGGCGGATCCGCTGGGCAGCCTCTTCTCGGGCCTCGGCGTACCCGGCTCGTCCGACGACGCATCCATGGCGCAGGCGCAGACGTCGCTCGAGGACCAGTACCGACTCGTCGAGCAAGCCCTGCTGTACCTGACGGAGGACCTGGCCAAGAACCCGGAACTAACACACCCTCCGCGCTAGCGTCGGATGTGAGCGCGTGCTCTGCAAATGAACAAAATCCATACTACGTTTCTTTTCCGTTTTATTAAGAAGTGACGTGTTTTTGTTGTCGTTTAGGTCTTGGAAAATACGACATGAAAACGTGTTTATAATTGCATACAAAATGGCGTTTCTGCAATGCATCACCAGGAGTTTTGTGTTTGTTATATATCCATACCATTTACCAGGACTCGCACTCAATGTACTCAATCAGGTAGTTTCGACACTCTATATGATGCATCGCAAATACAGCAGCAATGTTGGTAGTGTACAGTGTTGCCTCTTTAATATTTGTACATAGTGGAAGGTCATCAAAACTAGAAATTGAGTGTATTGAATTATTATGGCAAAGCCTCGACTTCTTTGTCTTCTCGCCTCGTTTTGTTCAAGTTATATTTTCGCCCGCAAACACAAACAACACAGTAAAAAGATGCTCACCTCAGGTGGCGTCCAATTTGTTTTGTGCATTAAAACTAACGAGTGAAAAATCAACCTCATGAAGAATAAAAATAAAAGCTTTTTTTTCTCTAGCCAGTGAACCAAACTCTTCCGCTCTCGTTCTCTACTCCATCCTATCGTAACGGAACATGAACGCCATTTTTTTATGTAATTTGACTCCTCTCCTCACATTACCTACGAGAGGGGGGCATCGTTCTCGTCGCGATGCTGGCGCTACAGCTCGCGCTTCTGCGTGCCCTCCTTGACAGCCGCGAGAATCAGCTCGCGGGCCGTCTCGACGCCGTCCACAGTGCCAATGACCTCAATGGCATCTTGGCCGCTGTTGCCCTGCGGCACAAAGATACGGCAGCCGCTCTGCTTCCGGATCGAGTCAATCTTCTTGCCACCCTGGCCCACAACATGGCGGAACAGCTTCGAGTCCGGCAGGACGAGGTAGCCCGTAGCATTGCTCCGGCCCGACTGCTCAAGGGCCTTCTCCAGGGCCTTCTTGGCCTTCTCAACGTTCTCCGGCGTGCCGTGCAGGACCCACGGAATCTCGCCCGTCTCCGTCGACGACACCTCCACCACGCGCCACGAGTGCGCACCGTCGGCGGCGTCCTCGTCGTCCGTGATGAGGGGCAGGGTGCTGTTGCCGTTGGCAGCAGCAGGGACGGGGCGCGCAGGCACGGCCTGGCCAGCGTGGTCAACAGTCACCTGGTGCTCGTTGCGCAGGCGACGGAAGAACTGGCCGTTGTTGGAGATGGCGTGGTGCACGCTGCGGGGCACCTGGACGGTCGTGGTGTGCTGCTCCTTGATGAGCGACTGGATGTGCTCCTTGGCCTTCTGGACATTGTCCGGCGCACCCGTCACCTTGACATCCGTGCGCTCGTCGCCCTGTCGGGGGATGTCGACAACGACAGAGAATTTGGCCTCAATCTGGCGTCTGGTCTCGCCACCGCGGCCGATCAGCGACCGATGCTTGTCCTGGGGAACGTCTATCGTCTCCGAGACCTGGTTGGAACGCTGGTCAACAAACTCCTGGATCGACTTGGTGATGGCCTCGACAAACGACCGGCGGCCCTCGATCTTGATCGCAGAGTCGTTGCTGTCCTGGTTGGGGAACTGGATCGCCCGAGACAGCTCTCTGCGGTCGTCGGAGCCGCCCGCCTTGACGACGAGGTCCTTAATAGTAGAGCCTAGTTTGAAAGGGTTGTAAGTTAGTCATTGCATACTGTAGAATATGGATGGGCAATGCAGTTGGTAAGACGAACCTCCAGGACCAATCAGCGCCTTGTGGAACTTCTTGTCGACATCAATGGTCGTGCTGATGGTGTCGTCGAGCACAGCCTTCTTCTCCAGAAGAATCTTCTTGGCAGCCGTCACTTGCTCCTTGGTACCCTTGAGCTGGATCTCCACCGTCGAGTCGGGGTCGCCGCGGCTGTTGGGCACATCAATCTTCGCGCCGGTCTGCTGGCGGAGAGCCTCCATCGCGGAGCCGCCCTGGCCAATCAGGTAAGGAACCTGCTTCTGCTGCACCTCAATAGTGGCCGTGAAAGAGGTCTCCTTCAGGTACAGGTACAGCTTCATAATCTCCTCGCGAGCCTCATCGGCGCCCTTCTTGGGACCGCGCACAACCACTTCGTCGGGGCCCTGCTGGCGGCGGGGCTTGCCAGCGTCGCTCGCAGCGTCGGTGACCGACTCGTCATCACGGGCCGCCTTGGCGACGCGCGGGAAGAAGATCAAGACCTTGTACCGGGTCTGGAGGCGGTTGATGGTGCTACCCTGCGCGCCGATCAGCTCACGGTGAAACTTGGGCTCGATTTTGAGGATGTGCGTGGTCTCGTCCGCGAGGTGGCGGGCCACCGAGTTGATGTGGGCACGGGCGGCCTCGGCCTTGGCCTTGGGGCCTTTGAGCTCGACCTGACCGTCCTGGACCTGGATCTCCACATCGAACTTGTCGCGCAGCTCACGAATGTTGCTGCCGCCCTTGCCAATGAGATGGTTGGCGTAGGCCTTGGGGAAGTCAAACGACAGCGTGAAGCCGCGCTCCTTTTCGTCCTCCTTCTCCTGCTCCACAAAAGCGTTGATCTTCAGTAGGAGCTCGTCCACGGAGGTCTTGGGTCCCCGCAGGGTCACGGCTGTGCCCAGGCTGGAGACACGGACGGGCGGTTGGTTGGCAGGACGGGCCTCTTGCTCCTTCTTGATGAACCGGCGAAGCCGCTCGTGGAACTTGAGGGGCACCTCAATCTGTGTGGTCTGAATGTCCTCCTGAGCACCAATAAGCTCGAGAATGTGCTTCTGCGCATCAAGGACGCCCTGCTGGAAGGCCGCAACCTCCTGCGGCGTCGGCACCGTCTGGGGCAGGGTGTACGGGCCAGTGGAGTCGTCCGAGGGGCCTTCGTAAACAAGGAGGACTGGTGCGTCGGATTCGGACGCCTCGGGCACGACGAGGTAGACACCGTAGTCCTGCTGCACGCGGGGGCGAACATCGTTGCGCAGGAACTGGTGGAAGAAGGGGTCGACAGGGATCGAGGCCATGCGGCTGGGCGGGTGGCTGGAGATGATGTTCTTGATCTCTGTCTGAGCGCGGAAAGCGTTCTTGCCGTCGCGCGAGTACAGCTCCCAGGGAAGGGCACCCTCACTCGTGAAGGGCGTGTTGATGTGGCTCTGGTACTCGCGCTCCAGGCGCTCAATCTCCTTCCGCTGCCGCAGGTAGCGGGTGACGTTGCGCGCATGGGCGGCCGCACTGCCCGGAGCCTGGCGGTGGAAGCGCGAGATGTCGTAGTTGGAGCACTGCATGCCCATAGCTAGGTCAATGGCGCGCTCGAGGCCGGCCTCCACCCGGTCCGCGTCACCGATGATGGTGACGTTATCGTCTTCGGCATCTTCCGGCAGGATCACCACGCAGCCGGTCTCGTTGAAGAAGTCCTCCATTGGCGTGCCGTGTTGACCAATAATGAACTGCTGGCGGCCGGGGGGGATGGAGGTCTGCTGCAGTTGCAGGCGCTGCTGGAGGGCAGCGGCTGCCTTCTCAATTTCAGCGCGGGCGTTCAGGACAGCGTTGCGCTCGCCGGCCAGGTGGATGTGGTTGTCGGCAGACGGCGTGAAAACAGGACGGCCAGTAGCAGCCAACGTGGGTGGCTGAGCAGAGCGCGGCTGCAGAGGCGGCACGCGGATCTGGACGCCGTTGTTCTCCAGGTTGGAGAGCAGGCCGAAGGTGGGGTCGGCAATGAAGGGATAGAACTCGGAAGGAATACCGCGCAGGCGAGTGTTCGTGTTGGCGGAGCGCTCGCCAACAATCTTCAGGATGGCATCCTGAGCCGCACGCGCAGAAAGGGCATTACCCTCCACGGTGACGTCAATCGTTGCGTCATCGTCCTCCTCGTAGGCAGCCGCAGCCTCATCGGCCTTGGGCAACTGGATTCTTGCGCCCGTCTTCTCCTGGAGCGACTTGATGGTCGAGCCTTGCTTGCCAATGATGTGGGGTCTCACAGACTGGGGAATCGGCACGTTGACTGTGACCTGTAGAAAAAGAGAGAGAAGAGAGTTAGTTACAAGCAGCCAAGATTGAGCGAACCAAACAAGGGACAATGCATAAATACAGCAAAGCTGTTGGCCGTCGGCAAGGGCCGCAGACAATGGGTAACGAGTAGCAGAAAAAAGATCCGCAGGAACCAAAGAAATGGTCCGAGCACCCTTCTACATTGTTTGCATGACAATCAAACGAGATGGGGCGGGGAAAGTCTCACCTTGGCACCAATCTGTTGGACAAGGTCCCGCAGGGCCTGCTGGGCAACCTCAGGCGGGCCAGTCGCGTTGAACTGCCTCCGGTTACCGGTGGGCGGTAGCATGGTGATGTTGGCGCGCGACTTGCGGTTGATGTCCTTGATAACGTCGGGAATGGGGCGCTTTAGGGAACCACGGGGTAGAAGCTGGTGGTCCTCGAGAGTGACACTCGAGACGTTGCGGCCGGGGATGTTGACAGTCGGAGGGGCGGTCGAGCGGGACGTGGCAGCAGCCGGAGCACTGCTGCTGTTGGACAAGGGCTGCGAGGACCCGTTCGCGCCGTTGGCAGCACCGCCAGTCTTTGCGTTCCAGATGGGAGCAACGTTGGCGGCAGCCTTCTTGGGCGCGCCCAGCTCGGGGAACAGCTCATGCGAGTGGGTGTCCAGCTTCGAGGCAGGCGTGGGCTCAGGCGCCTTCTGCTTGCCAGCGGCCTTGGCAGACGGCGTGGCCGCCCAAGACGAAGCCGGGGCATCAGCCGGGGCAGGACCAGACGAGGCCGCCTCAGCTGCCTCGCGACGGAGAACAGCGTCGTGCTTGAGGTCCTCCTCATCGGGGACGGTCTCAATGGTCACATGGTGGCTGCCGTGCTCTTGAAGCAGGCGCTGAGCCGCAGAGGAAGCGTTGCCGGAATCGGCAGTGGACGGGGAACCGGAGGCCATTTTTCGTAACCAGGCGCAGAGTCGTTTACCGGAGAGAGATGGGGGGCCGAGGCGTCGAGACAACCGAACAGAGCAGGTGGATGTTGGAGATGGCAAAAAACTCTGTTTGGGGAAATGAATGGTTAGCATAGAAAAGCCAAAATACGGATTAAGGAGAAGCCAAAAAAAAAAGGAGCTGCGCCAGCGATGTATAAGATACATGGCATTGGATGCGGTACTCGTCAGCAACACACGTCTGGCCACTAAGTCCTAAACCTAACAGCCATGCCACTTGCGCAGGCCATGTGAGGAGCAGAGCCCTGCCGGGCAAAGCGACACATCGAGGAGGCAAATGAGGCGAACGCACATGTCGTCGCAAGGAGAACAATGTGGGGCGGGGCGACCAGATCGTTCTGCAGGAATTGCAGACGACTCAATTCAACGTACAGTGAACAATAGAACGGGCAGGTAGCCCCTCGGTGACAGCTTTGTGCTCGTACGAGACGGTGCGTGTGTAAGGATGGCGGTACGCGGTGGCGGTGGTGATGTTGTGGATGGAGAGAAGGTGAGAGAAAATGGGGGATGGGGAATTGAGGACGCCGTCCTTGGACTACGATGAACGGTGCCTGCTGCCAGAGGAGACCACCTTCAGTCGGGGGAAGGTGCAAAGGGAGCCCCACATGGCCTTGCGGTCCACCGTGGGACAGGACAAGCTGTCCGCAAGAAGAAGCTACGTCCTGCGCAGTTGCGGAGGGCAACCGGCCAATGGCCTTGTCTCTTTACGTTTACGGGGCATTTCAGGAGAAGCAGACCATCGCGCAAATCAGCAAGCAGAGGAAGGGGCAATAGGGGCCCGCAGTGCGAGCAGGGAAAGACTTGTTGGGACTGGAAGGTGCAGAGGACAGAACAGCGAAAGCAACAGAAAGAATGCGCTATTTCGACGGGCAATATTGCAATAGCGTTGAAACGGAGACGCACCTGCCGCGGGGCAGCTTCAGAAGCAGAAAGAAGGGGGAAGCAGCGGAGTGTGGTGGATGTTGAAGAAGAGGAAGCAGCGAAGGACGTTGTAGACGGTCAAGGGGGGGAACAGGCGGAGCACACAGAAAGTGCACAATGACGCAATCTGATTGGTGAATCCAAGACAGCAGACAGGGTCAGGAAGACCTTGGGAATATCGACAGAAAGGAAAGCCAGCTTCGAGTTTTCGTCCCGCTTTCACTTCTCAAACTGATCGCATTCTACTGAAACGCACAGGAAGTATGACCTGGACCGAGTACTAATAGCCGGCGCCACATTGCTCACAGTGCTGAATCATCCAAGTAGGAAGTCGGTTGGTCTTTCTCAAGGTCGACTCTATGGCTCCTTCCGCGTCCCAACAGGAGCCCAACCAAGGGAAGGAGCTACCCAAGTCTTCAATTCCCTTTCAAAACGGAAAGTCAGACCAACTCGGAGTGCTTTCTCTGGCAATTTGTGACCGGCGGAACGGTCATTGGGAAAGAACAGCGGAACAAGCCGCAATTAGGTAATCCGGAACAAATGCCATTCGTTGTGCCCTGCAAGCCAAAGGAAGAACCCTAGAACGCCGCCGAAAGGCTGCTTGAACGTGCGGCGAGCGTATCACGAAAGCTCATCCCTGTTGGCGCTCTGCCGATCTTTGAAGCTTTGACAATCCCTGCCACAGCCTTTCACGAGTGCTCAAGTGCCCAGTGCATCAGCGATAGTGCCTCTTGGTCTCCAAGCGCCAAAATGTTGACGTCCACGCCAATTTCTCGTGTTTCCGGCCAAGGTCCCTGACAAGTACCAGTACTCGACCAAAGCGCCTCAAACAAACACGAAGTCGACCTGGCCGCCCGAGTCCTTCGGGTATACGACGTACAATGGAAGCCAGCCTTTTCACACGAGTTTCACGTTGTACAGAATTGCAAGTATGCATCAGTTAAATCTCAAGGGCATTCCGCACTCCGCGATTTATTTTTAATGAAAGTCGTACTTTTTTAAGTAAATAAATCAAAGTAAGCGACAATCGTGAATTCCAAGGCACCAAAACTACAAAATCATTCAAATAGTACCGACTGTCTATTTTCATGGGCTCTCTCTCTCTCTCACCTTTGTTTCACTCCAAAAACCGGGCGTGGCGGCATCACCCTGCACTTTACTCACAACGCTGGGTAATCTATCTCACACATGGAGACGAAAACGCCACGATCTATTTTAACAACCAGCAGACGTGTGACCAGACGAACGGAGCTGCCCTTGTTCTATCTGCTCAAACGTGGTCGAGCAAGTCACAAAATTCATCGAACGAGAACAGCACAGACACGAGGGAAAGGTAACGATGCCACGTGTGTGCCACACGTACGTATATTATATTTTTATTTTAGTAAACACGACAATGTACTAAATGATTTATCATACGTATACAACTTCACCCACCACTGTCTCGATTCCTTCTTTTCTTACACCTTTACCCTCCTTTCTGGTACGATGAGAATCATGGCAAAGAATCATCGTAAGGAACTTTGACTGCATCGGGGTAGGCAGAGAATTGACAAACAGGGACATAACCATAAAAGAAGCCACCTATCCAAGAGACAACATGGCTAAGGACATGACGACGGAAAAGGTTCAGCACATCAACACATGCTGTGGCTCTCTCTCGAGGTCACTGGCCTTCCGGGTCCCGGTACCTCTTGGCCCCGACCAAAGCCGACAACATGCACCTGGTTGCTACGCTTGCCCGATGCCCACAACGACGTGGCCGGGCCTTATGTCGTAATGAAGGAAGGCCTTGATGTGGATATACTCGAGGCAGGACAGGAGGTGGTAGACCAGCAGCAGGACCGTCTTCAGCGAGAACGTCCGGCTGGAGAGGTTGATCAGGTTCTCTAGGCTCGGACCCAGGTGATCAAGCACCATGGCATTGTGCTCGCCGTCCGTGCCGAACCACCGGACCAAGGGAATGCCGACGCCGCCAGCTAGCAATTGGGGCATGTGCGTCCCCGTGCTCCTCGGCCCCGGTCGTCTCCAGCTTGAGCTCTGGCCTAGGGTGTGGTGGACTCATCTAGGAGGCGGCTGCTCACTGTGGCCCACATTGTTGTCCGAGGACCTTCGCGCCAGTAACTCGGCTTAGGGTGGGTAATAGAAGGATAATGAGGAGGTAGGAAGCGACGCTTTTGACGAGGAAAGAAACGAAGGATATGGAGGCGCCGCTTAATAAACAACAAACGAGAAAGCGAGAGGCAAATACGATGAAAAGCCGGTAAGATGGAAGGGCTAGCAAGATTAGCGGCGAGGTTGTCTAAAAGACAGAAGAAAGTGTTCTCATAGGCTACTTGTTCTACTGCCTTCCAGCGTACGATGTTCAGATTCCAACGTTTGCAAATTACGATATTCTCGGCGCCTTCATGAACCTCAATAATGCCAAGCAGAGCTACGGAGTACAGGTAGACCAGTTGCTATAGAGATGTTCGTCGACTAGCATACGGAACGCACCAAATGCTAGGGACAGCATAGAATCTAAGGGTGTGAAAGGAACAGAACTTGAAGAAACTGTGGTGGTGCATGATGTCGGCTGTCATGCTGTGCCCCCGGGTTTTGACATTGGATGTCCTACCTCCTCTTCCAGGGTTCCGCTGGGATATCTGGTTCTCTCCCAGGTCTTTCCTTGACATAAACAGCAACGAGCAAGAATCAACAAACACTGGCGACGGAATTCAAGGGCAAGCTTGCGGCGTATAGTATATAGCAATATCTCCAATATAGGCCAATATAACTACTATGGGCGCAGCGCTGAAGCGGATCCCGGATGACAGGATCGCCTATTTGGATATGCCATACCACTTGCACTGTTGCCATGCCGGCAGGTCATCCAAGGGTCGTCAAGAGCTGACTGGAAGATGGGGCCGTACGTGTCTGTGGGCAGGAGGTGAGAGACGTGAGAGACGTGAGCATACATGCTGCCAGTTTTGTGGCGACTTGGCGACCTGGAAACCTGCCGTGGTGAAATACGTTGCGGGTTCAAGGCTGCCACAGTCATCAATAGGCCCGGCCAAAGTGGCCTAGGCTAGGTTCGCAGGTGGACAAGACGATACAAACCGGCACAGTAACAAAAAGGGCAGCGAAAGCAGGAATCGACGGCTGCGGTCCTTGTAGTGTCCCCCAGGCTGATGAACATTCTGTGCAAAGTGCAAGCAGTATGAAGTAATCGGCTGATGGTGTTTCGAGAGTACCGCCCTAACTGGTTGACAAGTTGCATATTGTCAAAGATATTCGACGTAGAGCACAAGTGCAAACGAGGAATAGGCATATTTCGACTGCGCCGCCACCGTATAGAACTGCTGCCTGTCGTTTTGTGTCCTTTTACACAAAAGTACCGAGAAAACATATGTCAATGTTGAATTTTGGCCGCACAGAAGCGGACTAGAAAGTCATCAAAGAAGCCGTCGATGAACGTTCGACGTACTAGCGTCGAGAGCACTGCGCTTCGGACTGCCCTAGAAAAACACGAGAGTCCAGGCCTTGCTTTGTTAGTGAAGGAATCAAGTCTGGGGATGGAGCGTTTTCACCAAACCGTATTATGTTCTCTGTACTATGGGCGACAAACGGAATATAACCGATGCCCATTTTGGTTTGGCGGCTATAGGACGGTGCAGTCGCGTTGATAAAAGACGCAATCGCAATGCTCTGTACGGTACCAGGGTACGTACAGCTTCGGCTGGATCGATTGCTGGTTGGTTGCAGGTTGCAACTGTGCCCAAATTGTGTCAAAATGCCTCTCGGAAGCATCTCACAGATGAAATACTATGTGCTCCGTAGTTGCTGAAGATTCAGGACTGCAACGTATATTGTACAAACACGGAAGGCTCCATCTGCCTTTTGCGGTGCCTGCCAGATATAAACGACCAGTGGCCTGTCCTTCCTGATTCGTCCTGTAGTACCTTGTTGTAGGAAGGCGCATACCAGTGCTGTAGCTGTCAATGCCGTTCCAGGGACACAGCAAACCCAAGTTCCGCCCGCTCGAACCAGAGGCCATAGACGCTAGAGACAAAAACGGACAATACGCCGTCGCACTTGCGCGTGGCATCGCGCCGTTGCACTTGCCCTCCGTTATTGTCCACCAGCATTCGCCTATCGTTCTTTCTTCTTTCTGTGCGATTGATCTGAAAGGGGAAGTTGTTACGCTCGACGGTATAGGATCGGTCGTTTTTGACAAAACTGTGGGGAAAAGCCAGGTCGCCGACGAAAAACTGCTAAAATCACCAATAAAAGGACAAAACAAATAAGAGAGGCGTTCCGCGGCCAGTGGTGAGTTGACGGTAGTGAGGGTGAAGAGGTGCGCGCTATGGGAGAGCCATGATGAATCTCTGGCCCTAAAACAACGATAAAGGTCGCTAAACAAACTAGTCCAGGAGTTTTCCAGTGCCTGCCGCTGAGATTTAAGTGGCGCATTCTTCTTTGTCAGAAAGATGGCAACTACGCAGTAGTCAGTTTCCCCTCTCGTGGCTACAGCTAGTAGTAGTGACCGCATACGAATCTACGATGGACCCTGAAGTATGTTGGAAGATATTGTGCCACAGTCGGCAACCCGCCTGCCAACTTGTGCCTTGGTGCTGGGCCAGTGAGAAAACGGCCAATTGCGGCCGCTGTCCTCGGTGGTGCCTTTCGCAGCGACACTGTCTGACTGCGTGCCTGCCTGACGCTGTTCGCTTTGTGGCCCAAATGCTTGGTCATTTTGCCTCCACAAGGATAATTATAGAACAATGGCGCAGGTGGTCCCGTTGATGCATCATTTTGCCAACTTGTCGTTCCAAGGCATCAATGCCCCTCTGGACAGCTTGGGAGCTTGCATCGACAACAAGAGCTAGACCTTTCGTATCTGTTCCCTCTTTTAGTAAATATACGTTGTCGGACTACGGAGCAATAAACTCGTCGGGAAGCGATCGTCATGGGCTCCTTTCTCGTTTTCTGCGTCCCTCTAAGCCTCTTTCCTTGGGCTTTTGCCGGCCCGTCTCCTCGTCTCCTCGTCTCCTCGGGCAGCACTATTCGTAAGTGTTCGTTTTTCACCGCGCCGTACTTCTCTCCCGAAATTCTCGTCTCGCCTGCGCCACAATAACACGACATGGCAACTGCCAGGCTGGCTTGACAGGGAACGAAGCTCGAAGAAACGGGTTGGGCCAATCCCGAACAGGAAAATGCGTGACGCGCCTGCAAGCCCAACTGACTTCAGAAACAGGCACTAGAGGTGACAGATCAAGAACTCGAACTCAGAGACTCAGACGCACGCCACACACGCGCGTCACCACACGCCACAGCTGTTCTTTTGCCGAGCGGACATTCGGCGTATGTGGTAGGTGTGTTTTGTATGCAGTCATTTTCAGTCGTCAACTCGTCGTGGACGCTGCGAGGATGAGAGATATCGGGAGTTATGCTGTGCGTTGTAGGTCTCAGTCCATGTCAGAAACCCATTCGCTCTGCATCTTCTGGGGCTTTGCTGCAGATCGGGGGGACAGGACGCTTGACTCGCGCCGCCGCGTGTAAGTCGTGGCTGGCGTGTGGAGGAAGCGCGCCGCGTGTATCCACTGTGCTTATGCACGGCCATCTGCGCTTTTCAACGGTCGCTCCATTCACTGTTGTTCATCATCACAGCGCAGAGAACAAAGAATTGCAGGCATTCGCAAAATACTGGCCCCCAAGGGTCTTTTCAGCTGTTTCCGCGCCAAGCTGTGTTTCGTCCGTTTCTACCGACCGTCGAGAACAAAAACCGGCCACTGGTGAAACACAGGGCCTGTTGCTCTGGGGCTGGAAACAGGAGCGTACCCCTGGCGTGTTTGCAAAGCTATTGCACCTCATTAAATCTGCGTTTTAATGTGAAGGAGCTTGGTGAATTGGGGAAAGTCGAATTGTATTGTAGCATGTCTTGTGGTCGTCAAAGCTGTGATCCGAGTTCTTGTAAGATACGCCATAGAGTGTACGGCGCATGGCTCGCCGTCTTTGAGAGGTATTTGGGCATGTACTCCTAGGCCTCGAACGGAGCACATCGAACGGCACATCGAACAGCACATCGAGCGCACGATACAACGACCGCCGTGTGGTATGGGGCCAACACCGCGCTGCTATAACCGCTGAGGCTGCGCGTGTGACGCTCAACATGTGCTTTCCGTGCTGCCACACCGTCCGGACACCGGACGAACATGATGAAGGGAAGAGCGTTGCAGCAAACGTGGCCAAACAAAGAGAGCCAAAGCAAATACTTTGGGAGGACGCAAGAGACGGCAATTCGTAGATGACGACCATGTGCAGGGATGATCGCGGCAGAGCCAACAAATGTTTTCCTAGACAAAAACGCAACCACAGCATCTCGAACCACGGGCCAATCGTCCCGTCCCCAGCGCCGTCCAACGACCCCGGACTGTGCCATGTCGTAGTTGATTGGAAGAGAGTCAAGACAACGCGCACCCAACGAGACGAAAGTCGCGGAACGCGAAAGCGTTCTAGGTATTTTAATCTTGGGAAGGTGCGTCCAAGCTGTCCCGCTGCCCAGCTGTTTCCTGTTCTGTTTCCTGTTCTGCTCTATTGCGACAAGGCCAGGCCCTGCTTGCTGACACCCATTGTCGCGGAGCTATTATGAACACGGAGCATTCATAGACGAGGGGGCAGGCCAAGCACTCAGAGAGACCCTGGCCTTGCTCGCATGTGTATGTTTCTTCAGTTTCCCCTGGTCCTATCTTTTCCTGCCTAACGACTTAGGGGCCATTCAAATCTGCGTCCTATTTTGCATCCAAAATTTCACCTTCTTTGGTACTATCGTGCCCGTTCGTTCCTTCCTTCATCATCTTCTGTCTTCGCCAGCTCCTGCCGCCTTCCCCTGTCTCCCTCCCCGCTCGACGATCTCGTACCTTGCGTGTTTCTTTGCGCTTTCGTCTCCCGGAGGCATCAACGACGCAACGGGCAACGACGCAACGGCCAACACCAAACGGCCCACTGACGACGATCAGCACACGAACCCAACGCCGTCGAACGCTGTCTTACCACCATCCGCGCTTGGCCGACGCCGAATCGTCGCACTGCAAACAAAAGGCACAAAAGACGAAAGAGACCGCCATCCTCGTCCAGCACTTGCCGCTCCTGGTTACGGACCGTCCGTGTAAATGCGAAGTGAGAGGTGAGTGTGAACGTGAACGTGAACGTGCAGGCGCAAAGTACTCCTTCCTGCCGCCGACTGCGCGCGGGTACTTGCTCTACAAAGGTCGTCTCCACTGCAACATACACATCTACCGTTACGCAACGGAGCAGGCGCATTCTGCACGCTGCACTGCGACTGCACTGCGACTGCACTTTCCAGGCCGCCATCGCTTCCTTCTTTTTGGCGCCTTTGGATGCTGCTGCCAGCAAGCCCAACTGGCCCTGGATTACCACCTCCTTCCTTCTTCCTGACGTTTTCTGCCCATCGTTGCTTCCGTGTCGACCATCGATCGGGTCGCGACTGCCCTGCTCCCAGTGTCCAATATATCCCCCGGTCTTGGCCCCCTCTCCTCGTCATGCTTTCTCCTTCTTTATTGCCGCCCTCTTTCTCCCAATCCCCCCCTTTCCTGCATCCTCCGACGCGAACCAAAAAAATCAACAACACACCCTCATCGACATTTGGTATTCCTGCATCCGTCACCCGCCCTTCGTCACGCCGTCAGTCCACCATTCTCTGTCCTCTGTTCCCCGTTCTCCATTCGCTCTCCACTCGCCCCTCCTCCACTGACCTAAAACAGCACCACCCACTCGGACACGCCAAAGAAGTTGCAAAAAAAGAAACGAAGAAGAAAAAAACGGAGAAACAAAAGGAAAAGAAGAGAATAAAGGCTAAACATCTGCAGCACGCACTGCGAAAGGACAGACGTCGCAGCTTCACAAGTTTCCACGCCGTCTGCAACCGCATCTCTCGCTCAGACGCTACCGTCCGTCCGTCGCGACTAGCTGTTGCCATCCAACGCCTCTCGCGCCTCTCACGCCTCTCCGTTCCCGGTCGACCCCACAGTTACCCTTTATTTCGATTGTCAGTTTTTGTCTCGGATCCAGGGCCATAATCGACCAAGGGGACCCAAGACGGACGATCCAAGGGGCGACAGCACATACGCAAAAACACCAACAACAGCCTGCAAGGGCCTGGACAACTGCACTGCGCCAGACGGCGACGAGCCCAGGACCCGTCCAAATTTTTCACACGCCCACCTTTTTGCCCACCTGTCCCACTATTTCCACTCTTTCCCACTCTTCCTACTCTTCCCACTCATTTTCGTCTTTTTCCATGCTTGTCGGCCAATCGCACGCCGTCATTTGCCATACCACGCTTCCCACCTCTGTCTCGTCCGCGCTGCTCCCCAGGGCCCCTTTCCCTTGGTCTTTCGTCCGTCTCGCTCGTCTCGCTCGCCTTTGGTACTTGCTGTATGCGCGCTTGACCCGCCCATTGCCGTGTACTTTCTGGTTCTTCCCCGCCAGAACCACTCCATTTCCCTCCTCTTCTCGCACATCTCCACCGTCTCTCAACCCCCCCCCTTCTGTGGCCCCCCCCATTCTTCCCCTTCCCTCTTAGCCTGCTCCGCCTGAGAGGTGTAGTACCATGGACGGCGGCGGCCAGAGCCTGAATATTCTTTCTTCCTTCGGCACTTCCCACCAACAACAAAAGAAGCAACAACAACAGCAGCAGCAGCAGCAGAATCGTCGCCGACTCACCAAAAAGCCTCCGCCCTCGTCATACCAACACTCTTCGTCGACGAGCTTCGATGGTCGCACAATCGACACCCAGTCTCTGCAGAGCAAAGGCAGCTCCACGAGTTTGAGGCGCGCTCCGAGCGCTCCCCAAACCCGCACGTCTTTCTCGGCCTACGCGTCCTCGTCCACGTCCTCATCGCCGCGCCATCTGCCCTCTGCAGGCACCCCGTCGCTCTCGAACCCCTCGCCCAACCTGCCTGGCGGCGAGTTCCTCACGGCCGACTACCAGCAATATCAGCATCAGAAGAAGCAACAACAGCAGCAACAACAGCAGCAACTGTATTCTTCTCCTCCTCATCCTTCTTATCCGTACCCATACAACCCTTCGATTGCGGCCGCTGCCTCTGCTGCTGCATCCGCGCCCTCCAATCGTATGAATCACAGCGCCATCCCCGACGCCGTTGTCCGCTCGCCGTCAAACGGTAGTGCTCTCACTTCGGCCTCCGAGGACTTTGTCGGCGCACCCTTTGACGGCGCCGCCATCTTGAACCGCATCGAAGAGACTACGACACCCACACCTGCCCCGAACTCTTCGTCTCTGTCCTCAAATCTTCCCCCACAACCGTCATTTCAGCCCTCGCGGAACGCCCCAGTACCGCCAACCGCCGCCAACACCACGATGCAGGCCTCGGGCTTCCCCACGAGCGTGCCAGGCGGCTCAACGCCATCCGCCGGTGCCGCCAGTGCTGCCAATGCCGCCAATACCAGCAATCCCGCTGTCGCCGCGATTTCGACAACGACCGCCGCATCGGCACCCGTTACAGCCGCTGCGTCTCCCACGCCGTCAAACGAGTTGAGCGAGAAGACCCCGTCAGCACAGTCTGGGCCGACCTGGCCGTCGGGAGGCTCTGGCGCCGACTCGCAGCTCCCAGGCACGAAGCGTTACTCCGACGAAGGCAGAGAGCTCAGAGGACCGAGCATGTTGCGCAAAAAGTCGGGCTTCTCAGGCTTCATGACCAGCTTGGTTGGCTCACCCAAGAAGCCGCTGATTTCTGCACCGGAGAACCCCGTTCACGTCACCCATGTCGGCTACGACAGCAATACGGGACAGTTTACGGCAAGTTTTGCAAACAGCGTTTTGAGCAATACCCCTCCACGTTAAGGTTCGCTAACACACAAGAGTAGGGCCTGCCAAAGGAATGGCAGCGACTGATTAATGAGAGTGGCATCACAGAAAAAGAGCGCACGCAAAATCCAGAAGCCCTCATGCAGGTCATCACGTTCTACAAGGAGACGACGGAGAAGCCACAGGAGGACCAGGTGTTGGAAAAGTTTCACGATGCCCGCCCTGGTATGCCTCCACAAGCAAACTCGTCAACGTCTTTGACCGCTCCGTCCCCCAACGTCCCGGCAGGTGGTGTTCCCGGAGCATTCAATCCCATGTCACCGCTCATGAGTCCGCCCACGAGTCCTCGCTTCCCGCTCGTCAACTACGAAGGCAGCTTTGTCAACCCCCGTTCGCCACCGCCCGTACCCAAAGGCCCGGGCTCGTCTGGCCTGAAGGATATCAACCTGATGCCCAGCCGACCCGCACCCCGGCCACCTGTAAGCCTGCCGTCTCGCACCGCGCCCCAGGCACCATTCCTGCCCACCAAGGACTCGGGCATTGGTATGACCCATCAGCAAGACGATGGAACGGGACCACCGCCGATTGCACCTCCGCCGAAAGACAACGTCCCCATGCTTCCCGAAGAACACCGCTCTCGGTCGAACTCGCGTGTCACGGCGCCGTACCAGCCGCCAGGGGCTGGCGGCATGAGCAGTGCACAGCAGGCGAACGCGGCCGCCCAAGCCGCTGCGTACCAGCAGCAGCTCCTCCAGCAACAGCAGGACCAGGCAATTGCGCAGGCGCAGGCCGCTATGACTGGACAGCTGGGACGGACGACCAGCACACGCCAGCAGCAGCACAAACCAATACAGCAACAGCAGCCCACACCGCCGCAGTCCCAGCACCACCAGTTTGCTCGCTCGCCGGACGTCAATGGCGCTGGGCGCTCACCACAGGCCCAGCCGTACCCAGCAGCAGCGACGACCACACAGCAGCAGCAGCAGCAGCTCCAGCAGTTGCAGTCCCAGGCCCGGCCGCGCCAGCGACCACGTACGAACACCGCTACTGGTATCGATATCTCTGCGCGCCTCCGGCAAATCTGCTCCGACGGCGACCCGCACCGTATGTATCGTGGCTTCAACAAGATTGGCCAGGGTGCCTCGGGTGGTGTCTACACGGGCTTTGAGCGGGGCAGCAACCGGTTGGTTGCCATTAAGCAGATGAACCTGGAGCAGCAGCCAAAGAAGGACCTGATCATCAACGAGATCCTGGTCATGAAAGACAGCTCCCATCCGAACATTGTCAACTTCATTGACAGTTACCTGTGGGAGGGCGAGCTGTGGGTCATCATGGAGTTCATGGAAGGCGGCAGCTTGACTGATGTTGTCACGTACAACATCATGACGGAAGGCCAAATTGCGTCCGTCTGCCGCGAAACTCTAAAGGGTTTACAGCATCTGCACTCCAAGGGTGTCATCCACCGTGACATCAAGTCGGACAACATCCTACTGTCGATGGAAGGCAACATCAAGCTCAGTATGTTACCACGTCCTTGATTTTCTTCATTTTTTTTAAAAAAAAACAGGTACTGTTTCTGGACTCACAACTAACCGTTTGCAGCTGATTTCGGCTTTTGCGCGACTATCAACGAAGCCCAAAACAAGCGGACTACTATGGTCGGTACGCCTTACTGGATGGCTCCTGAGGTGGTCATGCGTAAGGAGTACGGCCGCAAGGTCGACATCTGGTCTCTCGGTATTATGGCCATTGAGATGATCGAGGGCGAGCCGCCCTACCTGACGGAATCGCCGCTGCGTGCTCTCTGGCTAATCGCCACAAACGGCACGCCTGTCATCAAGGAGGAGCACAATCTGTCTGAGGTCTTCCGCGACTTCCTCTACTTTGCCCTCAAGGTGGAGCCTGACAAGCGGGCAAGCGCCCATGACTTGTTAAGGGTATGTGCAACATAGGCCCTCCCGACTCTCGCGCTTGCTACCCATTGTTTCTACCGAGTCTGACCGATGCTAACATTCCTGCAGCATGATTTTATGAAGCTATGTGTGGACTTATCGCAGTTGTCGCCGCTGGTTCGTGCCGCCCGTGAAGCGAAAGCCCAGGAGAAGGCTCGGAAGGGGCAATGAACAATGATCACCCACAGGAAAGGAGAAGACCAGGCAAAATAAATAAAAAAAGGTGACGTGAAGCCAAGGTTTTTTTTTGAAAAAGATATACCACCAACCACGCAACAAGACAACGGCCAAAAAAAGAACTCAAAAATAACATCCCAGGACTGGGCGACTGACGTGCCCATGCGGGGAAGTCGGATCGCCACCATAAAAGCAAGACATGGACATGACAAGAACACCAAACGATATATACATACCATACACAATTCACGCGTCAACCAACTCCTTCATTCGCAATTCACGCCGAACACACGAAACTTTTGAATTCTTTAGACGCCGACAGTACGCCCCGGGGAAGGAGGCATCGATGGACATACGCAGCACAGGTTATTATAAGCTGCTCGTTTTATTTCCATTTTTTTTTTTTCAAAGTTTCATCTTCCGGCAGTTTATTCCTTGCCTGGATTTTTCCTATGTTCTCAGCTACTGGCTCCCTGTGTTTACGATCTGGGAAGGCCGAATAAAATCTGAATCTATTCTACTTATTTTATGGTCTTGTTACTACTATCTTTCTTCTTGATGATTGTGACTGTTTTGACTTTAAGACACAACGGTAATATTACGTCTGTGCCACCTTGTTGACTTACTGATCAGGTTGAAGGTCAAGACAAGCCTGCAGGTGACCTCATCGTGTTTGTGTACAATTTGGGAATTTTTACTCAAGTTGTGACATAAAATTGATGTCTTATTATTGACAGCAGGTATTAAATTGAAAAAGGTGTGTATTTTTGAAGGTGGATGTTGTCATCCAATTCTATTCTTTTGACAAAAAAAGACGAACTCCCTTGTGATCAACGTGCACGTAAACACAACAAATCGCTATTCTATGTCGGAAAGCCGTATGAAATGCCGAAAACCTTGTCGTAGAACTCCCCTTTTGCAGCTTCATAAATAAAGCAAAAACAAAATAATAAAAAAAGCAAACACCTTTTTGCAACCACTCTTTGCCGTTCCGCCCTTGCGTACTCCTGAGTTGATTGGGTGCAAAAGACACAAATCCGAAGAAAAGAACCGATAGTCTTCAATATGAGAAGAGATCATGTCGCCCAGTATCCCACTACCCTCTCTTTCACCATCCACATTAAGCAAGAGAGAAGCGAGTATTGACTGGGTTGTCCAAATGATGATCAAATGGCACAAATCGGAAAGTAAATAATCATAATCGTTGGGTATCATCGAACATCATCATCTACTAGTAGACACGCATGTGCCTGGTCTAATAGAGAGTGTAGCCACCGTCAATCAGGACGTTGGAGCCAGTCATGAACGAACTGGCGTCCGAGGCTAGGAAGACACAGAGGCCGTTGAGGTCATCAACAGCGCCGAGGCGATCCTGGGGAGTCAAGCTACGCCAGATCTTCTTCTGGGCATCGAGGGCAGGGACTTTGTTGAGGGCAGTGTCCATGTAGCCGGGGGAGATGCAGTTGACGCGAATGGAGTATTTGGCCCACTCGGCAGCCAGAGACTTGCCGAGCTGGATGACACCAGCCTTGGAAGCGTTGTAGCAAGACTGCTCCTGGGGGTAGTTGACGATGCTGCCGGACATGGAGGCAACCAGAACGATGGAACCGGGCTTGCCAGCGGCCATCATGACGCGGCCAACGGACTGGGCCATGAGGAACGAACCAGTGAGGTTGATGTCAATCAGACGACGGAACATGGCAGGGTCGTATGTCTCGGCCTTGATGTTTGAATCGGCGATACCGGCAGAGTTGACAAGAACGTCGGGAGCGCCGTAGAGGTTGACAACTTGATCAACAGCGGCGTTAATAGCGCTGCCGTCACGAACGTCGACCTTGAAGAACGAAACGTCGATACCAGACTTGCGGTGTAGCTCCTCGGCGGCTTCGTCGCCCAGTTCTTGGTTGGCGTCAAAGATCACGACAGCCTTGGCACCAGCCTCAGCACAGGCTCTCGCCATGTGGTTGCCGAGGCCACGGGCACCACTTCACATGCTTGTTAGCTACTGGCCGTTTGGAAAGGACGTTCATTCAGGCTCTGCGAAGCGGGACACAAAAACATAAAGACCTACCCAGTAATGATGATGACCTTGCCCATGACGGACATCTTCTGCATGGTGGGGGACATGGCCTTGTAGACCTTGGGATCGAGGGGAACGACGTCCTCGTTCTCAACATCTTCATTGGGCGCAGCGGAGGGTTGAGCAGCCGGCTTGACGGGGATGCTGAAATGGTCGGGGCTCGAGGCGGTGCCTTTGCCATCAGGGCTGTAAATGGACACAGGGACTTCGGTCTCCTTGATGACCTCGCTCTTCTTCGTGAGACGAGGGGTGGCGACGGAAAAGACGCGCGACTGCACCGGCGTGCGATAGACAGTAGGCTTGATCAAAGTCGAGCGAACGACAGGGGCCTTGGAGGCAAGGCGGATGGAGCCCACGACGGAGCGAGCGACAGTGAAGCCCATCTTGACGATTTGTGGTAGATGTGCAAAGTATGAGAAAAAACGTAAAAGAATGCAGATCGGAGGAAGTGAACAAATTGAAGGGAAAAAAAGCGAAAGGGTGAAAAAGAAAAAGTTTGAATAAATAGAGAACGGCAAATTTGGGGACTAGGTGTGTGTAAGTGAAGCGAGCGAAGATGAGTAGAGGTAGTAAAAGGTAGGTAGTGGGGTGTTTGGACCGATCGTGAATTTTACTCGACGAAGGCCAAACTTGTGCGGGCTATCCGGGAGTTTGGAAGCTTGTGTGGGGAATGCAACGCCAAAATGTCGTTGACGATGAATAGGAATATACCAACTCAAACAACTGAGTTTGGTAAAACTATAGAGTGCGGTACAAAAGAGTACCTACGCGCCTCAATAACGACGACAAAACGCGAATAGGTTTTGGTAAATGAATATGACGAGGGAAAAGGGAGATGAGAAAATCCTTTTGTTGGACAGAGCCGCCAGTCTTATATAGGACAATGGGAGGGGGGATTGGGGGTTCAGCGAGAGGTAGTAGAGAGATGGAGAGGAGTAATACAGAAAGGGGTCAATAGACTGCTTCGGTCGACGCGAGGAAGGCTAGGGAGGCGACCGCGTGGACGTGGCGAGTCCAGAACCGAAAAATCTGCACTGCGGTATTCGGCGTTTCTGGGGGAGAGGTCTGAATACGTGGACTGGATTTGGGGGCATTCGTATCCTCGCAAGCTTCGCCGCAAAGCTCCAAGACTCGAGTGATGGGACTGAGGAGGGTGTGTTGAGGTAATGGATGGGAGGTGTGTGTAAAACAGTGGCTACACGGCGGGCGTGGAGGGCAACGAGGAACGAGGCCTGGCCTTTTGGGGCGTGGATGGAAAATGAGGTCGGTCTGGCCTGGCAGGCAGCTAGCGTGGCGCTGGTGGAGGGTGACAGTGACCTGGATTACTCCGTGATCAGGACGGATTCTGTGGTAACCTCTATTATTAGCGAACAATACACTTTAGTCTGGCAATCTGGAAATAAGCTTTCAGTCGCGACAATGGTCGGATAGACTGGCAAGCGGATAAAGGAGTGAGGACAGCGCTAGACGACCGTCGATGACAGGAGGCTCCAGGGATCGACAAGGATGTCTGCCAGAAAGGAGAGAGAGGGCAGTGAGGGAAAAGTGAAGAGATGTCAAGAAACCAACATGGCAAATGTAATATGGGAGAATCGTTCGTTTCGCTACGAGAAGAAACGGTAGTGACGCGAAAGTGATGAGAAGACGAGGAGGATCTCACCTAGGAACTGAGGGTGTGTCGAGAAAGATTTGACAGCCGGTAGAGGGGAGACTCGAGCTCTGGCTTGGGTCCAACGCTGTGCCATTGAAAGTCAGCAAAAAAAAAAGGCAGGTATGGCACAGGCCCAGGCGGAATGAAATGTGAAATGAAGATGCACCTGGTAACTCCAAAGGTGGGGAGGAAGGGCCACTTTGCACTAACACGGTGAAATATAGGGTGTGAACGTACAAAGTATGCTTAAGGTGGTGGCTGAAGCTATTTTGACGAAAAAGTATGCGGGAAGGACGGAGACGACGAGGATCCCAAAAAGACGAGAAAGAGACCAAGGGGAATACAGGGGTGCGGCTCTCTGTTTGGCAGGTGCGGCCTTTGTTGACGTTTTTGCATTGTGTATTCTACGGGGAAGGTGCGACCGTACTTACTCGATGCCAGACGGAAGCCGCGGAATGGGCAGTTGAGGAAGGCGCAACGGCGTGTGTAGGTCGGCACTACTGAGACTGTCCAAGGACGGGGAATATGGGAAGGAGCGATGAGAAGTCAGAGAGACAGAGAGAGACAGAAGACGGCGAATGATTTGAAAAACACAAAGGCAAGAACGACCAGCCCCAGTATCAAATGAAGGTCCGGTTGTGGGCAGTATTGGGACGAAAGCTTTTGATGGCCCCTTTCTTTCTCCCATCCGCACATTTCCTCTCTTCCCATTGACTTTCAAGCCTCCAAGGAACACATACCAACACCCTTGCTCCTTGTCCCACAACATTGCTTTCTCTAGTGCTTCCATCGCTTACTTTGCTTTGTTTACACGCTAGTAAGGGCGACTTGCACATGAGGACCGCAGCCGTCAGAACACAATGTGAGAATCCCATTGCAAACCGCATTCGAATAACACACTCTAACAGAGCCCCCCAACAAAAGACGCAATCAGTCGAAGAGCCACAAAAGGCAAAGACCACAAGAATCCATACCCCGTAATTACTCCTTACGCGACTATCCGCTTCGCCTGACCGCCCCTGGGAGTGTGGGATGCAGTGCGGGGGTCTCTTGTTTCTGTTGATGCACATTCCTCCTCAGCAAGCAGATTCGAACGGTCATGGGGTTCACCCAGATCGGTCTCGGAGCCAGGGTGTGTGTCTGGCATCACCTTTTGTCATGGCAGATTCGTCTGACCGGGTTGCACGTCACGGAGGGCGTGCGTCGGCATGCGCCGCTTTGTGTGGGCTCTCTCTGCTAAGAGAAGACGACATGGACGGGGTG